TCTGAAGACTGATCGGCCAGAAAAAAATAATAACATCTTATTTTACTACCAGGTCCCCGAGTCTCTGAGAAAGGCCATCCTGGGATGCAATGCCAACCTGAAGGAGTACCGCAAAAAGTCTGTCATGCAGCAAACAGAGGTTTTAGTGGTGGACAGCTCTGGAGTGAGTATATTCATTCAAAATTCTTTATTTCATCAAATATTTTTTTTAAATAAATATCCTGTACATTTCACACAGCATCTTAGTTAGTATTATAGGAACTAGACATATATTATAGATGATAGGGCTAGAAAACACCTAGACTAAACACAAATATATGAAAATTGACTGAATGTTTGTGTTGGTGGGGATCGAACCCACGACCTTCGGCGTAGCAGGTAGGCTATTATCACGTATAAATGGCGACCGATGGTAATGCTGTCTCACTCTTACTAAGGCTCTAACATACTCAGGTCTCATCGAAATATGTTATGATGCCGTGTGATGCCGGTTTAGAACAGCATCACCTCATGTCTTCCCCGTGGGTGTCGTAAGTAGCGACTAGGGGATTTGAGAGTTTATTATGTTCTACCACAGACCTACTAAACCTGGTATGGACTGGAACTAATCTGTTCTGTCAATGTAGAATGCGGAAAATAATGTTATTTCCTTTACTCTCAAATGGTTTTCTGTAAGAAGATTGAGATAAAATATTGTCTGTCAGATCCCTTTAATTTTCGAACGCGACTGTTTCGCCATTTTATAGTGCCAACAATCTATGGTACTTCAAGTGTCAAAGTCTTGTAAACAAAGTGCGATTTATTCGTATTTTTCATGATATATTATTTTTGCGGTGCATTTTTAGTGATAAAAGACTAAATTAAGGAAATGATATCATGTCTGACTATTCCATAATACAGTGCGACGGGCGTCGGAATAAAAATCGCCCTGAAATTAGTTTGCACACGTAAGTACACAAATCTGCTATTTTACTCGAACTTTATAAGATTTTAAGTAATTAAAAGCCACGAGCATTTATTTTTCGCTATAAAGCAGCAAACTATAAACATTTTTTTCCCCAATATATCATTAATTACTTTATTTCTGCTGATACAGATTTCATACAAACTGATCGTCGGCTAGGGTTGGGGTAGTACATATAGTCACGGTATCGATATATATTGCCAGAATTCGTAAGAATGTAAGGAATTTGGAGAGTTCAATTCAGAAAGTTATAATGTGCCAAAGTACCTAACAACAAAAATTTAGTTCTTTAAAGGATTTTATATATACTTGTTTAATAATTTAAAAATATTTTTTACAGAAGCAAAAAATGAAGTTAGAAGAAGGAAATGGCTTGATATTATTGGCACTGAAAATATAAATCCACGTCATGGAAAAATATTTACATGCTCCCATGTATTTTGGTGTCCAATGTTATAACAGAACTCTAGATAAATTATGCCTACGTGAAGAAGCCTTGCCAACCCCTTTTTGGTACAAGCTAAGGAAAATGATAGGTCTGTTTTGACTGAGCAGCAACAGGAGCAAAGTGGAAGGAAAAGGAAAATTTCTGGAATAGCACTAGAAATTCAACCTGTGTTAACAAAACAAATACCTAAATTATGTTTAAATTATTATTTTTGGTTTTTGATTGATTATTATTATCATTAATGTTTACCCCGACAACTTGTTTTTCTTTTTAACCATTTATTTACTATACACAAAAAACAGCGTAGGCATAATGCCCGTCGTAACCATCATCATCTTCCTACCCAATTACTTGGGGTCGGCGCAACATGTATTGTATGAACACAAAATCATGTTGCAAAAGGATTTGGCTATGTTTTATGACCGGCCGCCTACCTGACGTCAACCCTATTTGGGAATGACGTCAAATCGTGACCCAAATTGCATAATTGGATCGTTCGTAGGCAGTTACCGACTATCGATATCGATTTTTGGGTCCAAAATGATTCCAACCCTAGAAAAATCCGCCATTTTATGAGTCCAACATTGTTTGACATTCACGCACATTCAGAGGGTACAGCCAGTCCATAGGTTTAGTAGGTCTGTGTGTTCTACCCGTTTCACAGAAGAAAGGGAATATAAATGGCGGCCAGAGGTCATGCTTTCTCACTTGCACTAAAGGTCTTACATACATCAGGCTTTCATGCTTTCTTCTTTCCACTTACGGAACTATTTAAAATCTCATACTTTATTTAACCCAATAGTATGTTGTCGTATGGACACTTCCATACTTGATGATGCGAATTGAAGGTGAAACAACCATGACCTTTCGCCATCGGTACTTCGGCAGTGGTGTTCTTCTCGACGGCCGTGAGGCCGTCGGGGAGACGCCATCTGGGCATAAGCCCACTGGGCGTAAGAATCTTTCGCCGCCCGTTAAAACGGGCGTGTCATGGGGTAGGGGGCCATGGTAAGTGTGGGAACACTCCACCACGGCCCGAAGGGTCAAATTAAGGCCCGAGTGCGGCCGGACAGAACCGGCCGCAGACGGACCAGCAGTACCGCCAGCGAGTCGCCCACCGGGTGGGACCCCAATGCCCGGGGAGGCCCAGTGAGCGCCTTCTAGCTGGCGGTAGAAGAAACGTCCGGGGAGCCGGCGAGCCTGACCCGATAGAGAATCGGGCCCGCGTCAGCCAGCTAGTCATAGTCAGGTAGTCACTTGGTCAGTGAGGTCAATCCTGTGGGGGCCGCCGACTGGTACGCGCTATCAGCATGACAGCGCGCTACCAGCCGGCGGCCAAGGTCAGTCCGGTGTGTCAGTACCCTCCGCGAGCTCCTCCACCACAGCGAGCTCGCGGGGATAGGGTTTCCAGTCAGGAGGGCGCGCGTGGTACGGGGCCAGGCCTCGGATGTGACCGAAGTCTGACGTGTCTGCGCGCGCGAACATCCTGGTCGAGAGCTTGGAGACGAACTCATCCAAGGTCTCGACTTTTAGGTCCCTCCGAATGACTTCGTTGCGGACGAACCTCGGCGCGTCGGCTATGATACGCAACGCCTTGGACTGCTGGGCCCGCAGTCTTTGGCGGTTGGTCTCGGAGACCAACGCGTACCATGCCGGTGCGGCGTACGTCAGGCGACTTCTGATGTACCCTTTGTACACGCCGAGCCTCATGCGCAACGGGAGCCTCGAGTGAAGAATGGGTCGGAGCAAAGCAGTGGCAGCCCCTGTTTGCCCGATCACACTCTTCACGTGCTTGGCCATGGACAGGTTACGGTCTATGGTCACACCTAGGTATTTAGCCACCACGATCACCCGATCTCCTCTCCATGGAGCTTCAGTTTCGGACTTCGGCACTCATCGCTTCAGCTTAAATGCTAAGTGATTAAGGATTACACTGTAACTTGTACAAGTAGCTTATCGTAGAGGAAAAAACTCACTAAAGTTGTCGCAAGACACTCGTGAGTAGGGTTTGCATTATCCGTTAATTTTTACTATCCGGATAATTCGGATACATTATTTTCAAATATCCGGATATCCGAATATCCGGATAGAATTTTTTTTTTCAAAAATGTTAAATAAATTGATTTTTATTGAAACATTCTAATAACAAAAATGCGTACAAAAAATGTTATAAAATATTATAACCAAAGATATTACTCTTTTGCGGCTAATCAGCAAGAAAAGTCTTCATTGAATTTCGCACTTAGATCGCTACCGAATTGGAGAATGAGAAGCCCTTTATTTTCAGCCGTTGAGGTTGAGAGTTTTAAGTTCTTGATACAGATCCTCAGGAGCTTACTTAGATCTTTAAAAGATGCTGATATGTTGTTCTGAATTATGGCCCCCTTCTGCTGGCCTATAGAAAAGGCAATGAGAACCGAAGTACTTGATGTGAAACAACAGCTCAACCAGAAGGTTCTCTCAACACTTGTTAAATACCTACCCAGGGTTAATAGCTTCAAAAATCTCTGAGTATAAAAATATCAAAACAGCAAAATCTGATAACGTAATATGATTCTGAGCCAATTTCAAATCCAAGAAATATGACGTTCGTGTCAACCACCTTCTTCGTTACCTTTACTTCCCCTGAGATTCCGGTTATTTCCAGTTAAAGTCAGAAAGCGTCAAAAGCGCCGCTAGTACTGATTGAGCCATCTGGTTAAGCGCCCCGCGCGCCGGTTCTCTAATTTGTGTCTCAACTATTAGAGATAAGGACATACATAACTCAATTGCAATTATTTTTAATCATGAGGAGCTGCTTTTTGTGGCACATAAACGTTGAGGGTCTGTAGTACCTGATATTGAACACAAAACGCCCAGCTAAACGTATTGGAAACGGAAATAAACTATAAAAAATGGTACATAGGAATCAGGATTGTAAACTGTGATTGTGAACAACATGAAAATGAGTAGATCCATACAATTCCCGAAAAGCCGAATATAGTCTCTCATTAAAAAATATTTCTCAGACATTCTCTTAGTTTTTTTGAGGTTTTTTTACAATATTTTCAATGCAATTTAATATAGTAGGAATAAATTGAGGAAATATTATTAATTTCTGGCATCATTTGGTTAAAATAACTCCTCCAAATTAATAACTAAAATATCCGGATATCCGAATAATTAAGTGTCAACTATCCGGATTTAAAATTTGGCGGATATCCGGATAAAACGGATATCCGAATATCCGGATTGCAAACCCTACTCGTGAGACCGATGCCTCGCAGATTCGCATTTGTAGTCCATCTGGAGTATACCTATCCCAAGTAATATGTGTCAAATATTCATGTTAGTTTGTTTTGTTTAATTTCTAGATCGAGTGGCAGCCAGGTGAAGGTTCTGTTAATGAACCAACCAAGATAGTTGCACCTCCTGTGCCGATACCAAGGTATTTTAAACATTTTTGGTTTACACGGTTTGAATTCCTACTATAATGTGGGCGGACTAATTGATTTATTAAGTTGTAAACAACTACTACTAGATGTCGCTTAAATCGTCGCTTCGAGACGAGCATCAAGTGGTTGAAAAATTCGTTAGGTTCGGCAAGGCGCTCTGGTAGCTCAGTTGCCAGAGCAGTGGGATGTTACCCCACGGTCCCGGGTTCAAATCCCGGCCGACGCGAACGAATTTTTCAGTTTTCTCAGTATAATTTAGTGATTGTTTTTATTTTCTAAATTACTGAAATTAATGTTTATTATTGCACGGATCCGTTTGTCTCCTCATGTCCGCTATTATCGGCTTTATTCATACCTAATATCTTCTGTTTCATTTTAATTACTATTATTTTTCAAGTTTGCTACTGAAAAAGGCGCATCGACCTTAACACTTGTAAAAGGACGTCTATAAAAGTCACTCCTTTATTTATTTCCAGACAATTACCACAACAGCAGGTACAAAAACCGCTGGTGACAGTGGTTCTAGATGACGACGACGACGAACCGCCACCAAAAAAACAAACAGCAACCGCAACCACTACGCTCCTACCACCGAACCACCTAACCCCTCCTACCAAAGATACCATACCTACCTTAGTACCCATCACAACCCTACTAGATCCAAAACTCAAAAACACTCCCCATTTAGCCGCACTCCTACCCGAAAAAATGCAAATACTATGCAGACACGAAAAAGAAATTGAAAATTTTATACTACATCCGGTGACTGTCGGGGAAAAAGGTGTCTTAGTCGCGCCGAGTTTGGGAGCTAAAGTTATCAACGGAAAATTGGTGTATGATGCTAAAATCTACAAACCGTTACCTGTAGTGGACTGCACTCAAACCAGCTATGTCGTTCAAGGGTCCAGTTTGAAACCTGCCCCTAACAATTCTGAACCTGAAGAAATACTACCCGACAAAAGGGTAAAATACCAAGAAAGAATATACGGCACGGATCAGTACAAGAAAGTAATATCAGACGGCGCAGACAGCGCTAACAAGAGAAAAGCTTCAACTATCTCGAAAAATTCTCAATACCTCGTAGACTTGGACACGATAAACAACATTTTGGACCGAGAGGACCCTCTATCTAGACTATCAAACGACGAAGCACCGATAGCGGTTATAACAAACGTAGTGAGCAAAGTGGAGGACCCCATTGCAATAATAACCGATGTGGTGAGCTCGTGCCACGAAATGAGAGGGGAGGCGGAAACTATAAGTAAGGTGACGTCGCGCGCGCCGCAGCCCGTCGCGAACAACCACAGGATCGACTGGGAGGACAAGATACCTATGGATGTCATTTCTTTTGTGGTAAGTTTCCAGTTAAAGTTACTTGCGCCGAAGTTATTAAAAAGTTGGTTTCTGCAATGTCCTTAGAGTACGACCGTACGAATAGGCCATATTTGCCATCTGTTAAACGAAGCATGCCAGCAAAGAAAAATAGACCTTATGTCATAATTTTGACAGCTGTCAAATATGGCCTATAGTCAAGTAGCTTGTAGGTAAAACTGGAGGCACTCGGGATTGACAAGTTAAGGAAGTAATACCTAAATAATCTTTATTTCCCTTGATTTTAAGGTTCCGTGGTTATTATCACTAAAACTATGAGACATTTTAACGGGTTATAACTCACGGTAAGGTTATTTCGAGCAACCAATATTGCGGCGATGTTACAAGCACGGGTAAACTGGAGTGACTGCGGGTGTCGACTCAGGGCAAACATATCTGTCCACCCTCATTTCGTCACTATCGTTACTCAATCGAAATAACCCTACAGTGAGTAAAAATAAACACTCGTCAAAACGTCTTCAAATTTTAATTTTTATTTCTTCCACAGGACTCGACAAATTCAGACAGTGGCCTGATCGTGCCAGATCGCACCACGCAGCCACAAATATCGGAGGCGACCACGCAGACGCGAGGAAACTTGGTTAGGTCTATAGATAAACATGTTATAGACCTTTGCTGATTGATACACGCGTAATTCTTATACAGTATAGTATAGCTTTTGCATCCTTAGAATATATACAGGGTGGACCATGGAGTGACGTCAATAAAAAGAAATTAGATTCCTCACATCTTAAGGTATTCGAAAATACCCCATGTATGTTCCGCGATTATTTTTAGTTTCCGAGTTATTCAACTTCTAAAGTTGTATGGGAAAAACTCGAATGGCAGACATTTTTTCTTTTCTTGTACGCTAAAAAATACAAATCATAAAGATTGTGCTAGGAAATCAACCGCGCGAGAAGCTTATATGGAAATAAAAAAAGGAAAGGAAAAATGACTGCCAGTCGAGATTTTCCCATACAACTTTAAAAGTTGAATAACTCGGAAACTAAAAATAATCGCGGAACATACATGGGGTATTTTCGAATACCCCAAGATGTGAGGAATCTAATTTCTTTTTATTGACGTCACTCCATGGTCCACCCTGTATAAGCAAGCTATAGACTGCGCTCGGCCCGCGCCGTACTGTCAAAGCAAAAGCAGTTGCTCCATAGATACAGATGTCAAATGTATGAGAAGTTATAGAGGTTCAATAGTGTTGTCACTGGCGTTTTGCTACTGATGGACAGAGAGGTTGTGTTCTAACTACCTAACTTTTTAGGTGCACTCTATAGCTTGCTTATATGTATAGGGTAAAATTTTACTAGTGACCGATAGCGAAATGTAAGAACCAGCTGGTGATAAGGAACAACTTTCCCCAAGGAACATAGGTCGAAATATGAAAAAATATTTGGACCTCCGATTCAAAATTGCCGATCAGCTGATTTGAGTTACTATGTAAGGTACAAAATCTTTTTTTATATTTCGACCTATGTTCCTTAGGGAAAGTTGTTCCTTATCACCAGCCGGTTCAGAGTTTTCGCTATCAGTCACTAGTAAAAATTCACCCTATATATGTATACCTACTCTAAGTTTGCAGCCAATGGTCTGTATTTCATGTGACGGTCAAAAACAAAAATAGCAATTTTAGATCCAGGGTTCATCGGGTCCCACACGAAGAGAGAGAGAGAGCAATTTTAGAACAGCGCTATCAATTTGAGTAAAATAGGCGTAAAAAAGGGTAGGAGGTGATTTCAACTAAATTATTGAATAATAAAATTATGCGGTTATCGAAAAGATGTCAGCTAAGCATAGAAGAAAATGTGCAAAATTTCGAAGTAGCAATAGACATTTTAAACAAGGCATGACTGAAAATGCTCTATGATGTCTACTATCTTTTTCTAAGCCTATTTTACTAAAATTGTAAAGTAAAATCTATTTTAAAATTGCTATTTTTGTCAGTCACATGGAGTTGGGACCAATGTATGATAGTTAGTGTTGCCGAACTATCGATAGTTTTACTATCGATAGTTTTCATTCATTAAGGTCTATACAATCGATAAGCCTATCGATAGTATCGATAATTCAAAATGAAGCAATACTATCGACAAGGTGCAATACTATCGATAGTTCAAAAACGATCGATAGTATTGATACTATCGATAGTTCAAAAACTATAGATACTATCGATAATAAACAATCGTTGAACGATAGTGAAAACTATATAGTGAAAACTATCGATTGTCTATCGTTTTACAATTGATAGTCCACTATCGAGCGACAACACTAATGATAGTGCCATTTTTGGACTTTGAAATGGTGAGACTAAAGTCTGTTCAGGAATCATTGACTATTCATGTAAACAAACCACACATCGTCAATTTATCTTCCGTTTTCCATATGGTCTCACAGTATCATAGCAAAATTTTCACTTGATGTGATTGATCTTGATTTGACATTTGAAATTTAGTGAGGGGAACAAAATGTCGACTCATTCAAGTCAAATCTTTTTAGCTGTTCCTGCCTTGGAATCCAGTTTTTCGGTCTTAAATGAATAAAACTCACATTACATCTTGGGGCGCTTTTTACAAAGCGCTTTTTTTGATCAGAAAGAGGGTTATGTTTTACGAGAGTATGTATGTATGTATGTACGTATGTGGACATGCAAATAATTTTTCACGGGCTACAGCCTAAATGTCAAACATGTGATCTCTTTAGATTCCTCTCAACAGCGCGAGTGACAATGGGGGATACAAACGCAAAAAATCTTTGATATAAGAAAGCAGTCGGGTTTTTATTTATAATAATAATTCTACTTGTTTCGTTAAGTTTGTTGTAATGTGAATTACTTTTTTGTAGACTTTAGACTTATGTATGTTTGTTTGTATTATTAATCTTCATCCCGCCACCATTGCGGATATTTTGCAGATATATTGCTATTGATAAACTTTAAAGATATATATCGAAGAAACTAAACATTGTATTGCAATCCATATGCATGTGTCAGATTATGACATTTGTATGTATTGATTAGTTAAATGATGTATGTCATTCTCAGCTTCGTCATATACAGGGTGTTAGAAAAAGTAGTACGTTATTTAAACTACAAGTTCTGTAGGTATAACAATGTATCTTGAGCATGATTAAACAATTTATAAAAAAGTATTTAAAAATAATTTACATATAATCTTTTTGTTAAAATGTTCAACCCTAGTTCAGAGCGCAACATAGTTCGTCGTTACGGTTAGGTACATACAGACCATATTGTGCGCGGCAAAAGACCGGCGCAAAGTTGTCCCAGCCATAGTCTAATAAAACATGGTCTTTCATTCCCAGAGAAACACAAGCCTACGTCACTAGTATTGCCACTTTATTTTAATAAAATACGTTATGCGGTAAATTCAATCTCAGAAAAATGAGTTAAAATATTTCTTAATAATTTTATAATTTAGATTTACCTACGTGTATATTAACTTGAACTTTACAACAACACTTAAATTTTATTTATTAGTTAACAGTATCTTATATGATTTCCAAAAAACATCATAAGAGCGGGTAATTCTGGTAACCCACAAGCATGATGACGTAGGCTTGTGTTAGTCACGTGGTTCACGAGTCTCGGAATGGAATACCAGGCGGAGTATCTTATTATACCATGGTCCCAGCGGTAATTGACTGTACAACTTGCTGTGATGTAGCTTTTTTCGCTAATTATTGTTCTTATAGTACCTTGAGACGTTCCCATAATCTCAGCGACTTTTTAAAAAGTTTTTGAAAAATATTGTAATCGTCTAACTTTTTTTTTTTTAATGTTTGAACACGCTTTTAACATACTTTATAATACCTATAGATTGC